TGGCTTTTTACTCAATCAATAAAGTGAAGAAATATTTCAAGAAGCCATTCAATTCGAAGTTCAAAGGAAAAAGTGATTTTAAGGGAAACTCATCAAATGCGAAGGGTATGAGAGAGGAGACGAAGGTGGAGATAAATGATAACAAGTCTGATGTTTCGAAGCCAGAGAAGAAGTTGAAAAGGGACTCTGGTTTCGATTGCCATTACTATAATGGTGCAAACCATATGGCAAGTGATTGCATGTTGAAGAAGATATAAGAGAAGAAAGAAAGAGTGAAGGACGAGGCGTATTATACTGAGATGATAGAAGAGGTTAGAGCTAAGACGAAAGGGATGTCGTTGGTTGCAAGAGGTAATAGCGAAGGGGATGGAACGTACCAAATCTGGTCATCTGGATCAAATGATGAAGAAATGCGAAACCCTACACATGTAGCTATGTTTGCTGAGTATGAGGAGGAAAGCGAGGAAGAAGAGAAGGTGACTAGCAAATTCTTCGTTACTACCGGTGCCAACAAGTCTCCAATGACTTCAAAGGTGTTGAGTGACGAGCAATAAGATGAACCTTGGTACATCAATAGTGGTTGCTCTCGTCACATGACAGGTCGAAAGGAAAATTTACGTAATTATCGAAGCCTGGAAAATGTTGGTGTGGTAAAGTTTAGGAATAACAATAAATGCAAAGTTAAAGGATATGGAAAAGTAACGAATGGAAAGTTCACGGTTAATCGAGTGGCATATGTCGAAGGTCTTCAGCACAACTTGATAAGTGTCTCAATACTTGTTGTGGGCACTAGCAATCAAGTAGTCTTCGATGAAGAAGGAAGTGTTATTTTAAATAAAGAAACCAAAGAGATTTTGCTCAAGTCAAAAAGAAAAGGAGATATATTTACTCTCGATATCAAGTCGATTGTTGGTGTTCCATCTGTATGTCTGCTTTCGAAGGCGTCGTATGATCTAAGCTGGTTGTGGCATCGTATAATTTGTCTCATCTAAATTTCAAAAATTTGAACAAATTGGTGGTAAATGATCTTGTTCGAGGCTTACCTGTTCTAAATTTGAACAGGGCAAGAAACATCGACAGGCTTATCCAAGTACTATTGATTCAAAGATCATTGAACCATTGGAACTTCTTCACATTGACCTTTGTGCACCTTTGACTGTTGAAACCCTCAACAAGAAGAGGTACATCTTGTTCATTGTAGATGAAATTTCAAGGTTCACTTGGGTTTTCTTTCTTCGTCAGAGGTCTGAAACAGCACAAGTAATGATTGACTTCATAAAGCACATTGAACTCAGTTTAAGGAAGAAAGTCAGAAAGATCAAAAGTGATAATGGCTCTGAAGTCAAGAATAAAGTTTTGGATTCATTTCTTATTGACCTAGGGATTTCGCATATTTTTTCATCTCCTTACACACCACAACAAAATGGTGTTGTCGAAAGGAGAAATTGATCTCTTTGCGAAGCAGCGAGGACTATGCTCACGTATGAGAATCTACCTCAGTATCTCTCGGCAGAAGCCATTTCGATAGCATGTTTCACACAAAAACGATCTTTCATTCATCTATGTTTTAACATCACTCCATATGAGATTATCAATAATCGAAAACCAAATGTGAAATTTTTTCCATGTTTTTGGTTGCAGGTGCTTCATAATGAATCTCAAAGATAATCTTTCCAAATTTCAGTCCAAAGCTGATGAAGGGGTGTTCTTGGGATATTCACATAATTCGGTGGCATATAGATTGTTGAATAAGCGAAACAAGAAGATTGAAGAAGCTTTCAATCTAAGTTTTGATAACTATCATGTTAAACAAGTAGAAAAACCATTTGATCAAAAACCAATCATTTTAGAAACAGAAATTGAGTCAGAAATTAATAATTCTTTCGATTTTGATTATGACTTAATTTTTGGTGTTCCTGACAGGGCCATAGATGCAGAAATTCATGCTGAGGATAATCAGATTCCTAAAGCTTCGAAACATTCTGATGATTCGACATTAACTCAGGAAAATGATGCTTCTTATTCAACCTCCAATACTCCATGTCATGTCGATAGTCATCCTGTATTACAAAGTGATCAAGTGGAGGGGGAGCACTTGAATTCGACTACTAATGTTGAGGGGGATCGTCATATTTAGAATACAACTGTCGAGGGGGAGCATTACCAATCCAATCCTATTGTCGAGGGCAAGCAAAATGGAATTTTACCTAATGATTCGAACATACAAACTGATGTTTTTCATGATATACCTGATAATGTGTCCAATGTAGGTGAAGGTTCAGAACCGGATGATATGTTTGAAGATGCGCCTTTGGGTTTCTATCCAACCTACCCACCATTGGACAAGTGGATAAGAAATTATCCTTAAGAACAAGTTCTTGGTGATCCTCAAGCTGGAGTATAGGCAAGAGCCCAACTTCGTGTTAAAAATGAGGTACTAAATGTGAATCAAGAGTATTGCATGTTTAATGTTTTTATTTCAAAGATAAAACCGAAAACAGTTAAGGTTGCATTGGCATATCCTGAGTGGATTGATGCAATGCAATCCGAATTAGCTGAATTTGAGAGAAACAAAGTTTGGCGTCTTATTCCAAAACCAAATGATGTATCAGTAATTGGCTCAAAATGGATTTTTAAAAATAAAACTGATAAAGAGGGTAATGTGGTTCGAAACAAACAAAGGCTGGTTGTAAAAAGATATTCGCAACAAGAAGGTATTGATTATGAAGAAACCTTCGCCCCTATCACAAGACTCAAGGCTGTTCGAATATTTTTAGCTTATGCAGCACACAAGGACTTCGATGTTTATCAAATGGATGTCAAGTGCGCTTTTCTGGATGGTGTACTGGAAGAGACTGTGTATGTCGAGCAACCACTAGGTTTTATTAATAAAAAATTGTCTGATCATTTTTATATTCTTGATAAAGTTGTTTATGGGTTAAAACAAGCACTACGAGCCTGGTATGCAACTCTTACCAATTTTTTAAAGCAATCAAAATTTAAACAAGGATCAGTTGATCCCACTCTCTTTCGAAAAATAGTTTGGAATCATCTCATGCTTGTTCAAATTTATGTCGATGACATTATTTTTGGCTCTACTGACCCTAAATTGGCGACTGAGTTTGAGAATATGATGAAGAGTCAATTTGAATGAGCATGATGGGGAAGATCAACAATTTTCTGGGATTAAACATTCGTCAAAGCATAGAAGGAATCTTTATCAATCAAGAGAAGTATTCTCGAAATCTGCTAGAGAAGTTTGGAATGACGAATAGTTCGAAATTGCGAGTACTTATGGCTGTTGGCACTCGTCCCGGGCCTTTGTTGGACAAGCGTGCTGTCGATCTCACATTGTACAGGAGCATGATCGGTTCGTTACTATACTTAACTGCTAGTCGACCTGATATTATGTTTTCTGTTTGAAATTGTGCTAGGTATCAGTCAAATCCTAGGGAACCTCATCTAACTGCTGTAAAGAATATCTTTCGTTATCTCAAAGGGACAATTTTGTTGGGTTTGTGGTACCCTTCAAAGACTGGTTTCTTCATTTAAGCATTTTCGGATGTCGATCTTGGTGGCTGTCAACTTGACAGGAAAAGCACTACTGGCGGATGTCAACTACTGAATAGGAAGCTTGTGAGTTGGCAATCGAAGAAACAAACCTGTGTTTCGATTTCCACAGCAGAAGCTGAATATGTTTCTGCTGCAGCATGCACTTCTCAGATCATTTGGATTTAAAGTAAGCTTCATGACTATGCAATCAACATGAAAAAGATACCCTTGTATTGCGATTCACAAAGTGTCATTCGAATATGTCATAATCCGGTGCAACATTCGAAGACCAAACATATCGCACTTAGATATCATTTTATCAAGGATCATGTTGAAAATGGAAATATAGAAGTTCACTTTGTGAAAACAACAGATCAACTTGTTGATATCTTTACCAAGCCTTTGGATGAAAAGTTTTTTCTTAGAATCTTGTTTGGATTAGGAATGTTTGATGCAACTGTTGTTCCGAATGAGTCTTCGTCATGCAGTAACGAGGAGTCAACACTTCGTTGAATGAATCAGAAGTTACTGTTCATTATTTCAGCGTTCAACATGCTTCGATTTCGACATGTCGCTAAATGATTCTGAGTATTCTTGATAATATTCCGTAAGGATAATAATTTAATCATCACGTCCTCGTTTCATTGCTTTGATCATTTTCGTTTCGTATTGATATACTAGTTCTAACACTACCCCCCCCCCCACACTACTAAAAAAAGCGCTATTTCCGAGGGGCATTTTCCTCGGAAATTCCTAGGAAAACGGTGTTTCCGAGGAAATGCCGATAAAATCCTGTGCGTAGGTAAAACCCTCCTAGGAAATGTTTTGTAAGGGATTTCCGAGGAACTTTCCGACACATTACCTAGGAAATTGTTTTGTTGTAAGTACCGAGGGTTTTCCTAGGAATTTTATTTCCGAGGAAATTCCTAGGCAGATTATTTCCGATGAATTTCCGAGGAAGTTTAATTCCGATGAATTTCCGAGGAAATTTATTTTTGAGAAATTTCCAAGGAAGTTTATTTCCGACGAATTTCCGAGGAAGTTTCTTTCCGATGAATTTCCGAGGATTATTTCTGAGGAATCTCCGAGGAAATTTATTTCTGAGGAATCTTCTAGGAAACTTTCTTGACAGCTTTTTGTGACATTTGTTTGTGACAGAAGTTCCTAGGAATTTCCTAGAAACAGTGCAGCTATAAAAAATATTTTTTTAAAAAAAACAAAAAAAACCAAAAAAATATAGCATAAAATGCAGAAAAAAAACTAAGTTCATTCAATATATCTAAAAGTCATACACACGTTTACACTTTAGAACATAAGTTTCAACAATCGTGTAAACCAAAATCATAATATAAAAGTCTTAAAAACGTACAAACGTTTACAATAAATAACCTAAGGAGCATTCGATGGATTGGATTGATTTTCGGGACGGTTATTAGTGTCATATCGTCTCATGAACTCGACCATTTCCGCCATTTATTTTCCATTTGTGCTTGTCTTTCGGCCATTTCACCATTTTGTCGGGCCAATTCGGCATGAGCTTGTTCCAATTCCCGGACCTAAAAAAAATGTTAAAAGAAACATACATCCATTATTTTATCCATAATAGCAACAAACTTGATTTTTTATCTATAATAACAACATATTTTATCTACTTTACATTTTTTTATTTATGTCAAAGAAAAATACCCGTTGTTGTGACTGCTGGTACTTAGAAGAGGTTGGTTTGTTCCTGTTTGATGATGTCCCCGTGACAACGAAATGTAGATCTGAACATCCTACCCCGTAAATATAGTTGTATTTGCCTCTCCCTTCTTGTGCTTGCACCCACAAGTCAACATCACCCTCTGGATGTTGAGTTAGGTCATCCCCATACTTTTCAACCATGGCACTAGTGTATCTTTCCTACAATTTATCAAAACAAAACGACTGTTATTATTGTACTATTTGAAGTTGAGGCACTAATTATCTAAAAAGCAAAAGATAAATTACACATATTGCTCTAGCAGCAGTAGGTGTACAAAACTCCAACTCTTGAATTGTATCATAATCTTTAGCCTTGAATTTTTTTTCTTGGCCTCTGCAGTAAGGTGGGTAATAAGAAAAAGTTCCAGAAATGTAGGGATACGCTTCAATTCCTTTTGCTACATAAAACACATAGTATAATTAGTGTAATTTGTGATTAAGTAAAACCAATTAAAAGAGAATAGAATAGCTGGAAAATTAAAAAAGAATAACCGAGTTTACATGTGTTTGGCGATGTGGGATACCGAGGGAATACCGAGGAAATATCTTAGGAAAAGCGTAGGAAATACCGAGGGAATACCGAGGAAATACCGAGGGAATACCAATTATTGTAGTGTATATATACGCATCCCTTCACTTATAAGCACAAACAAATAGCGAGTGTACTGGTTAAAGTGCTGAGTTATTGAAACAAAGGTCTTAGGATCAATTCTTTCTCCTTACAAATCTCTGTCTACATTTCTTTTATTTTTCCAGCTATTCTATTCTCTTTTAATTTCCAAGCTATTCTATCCCACATCGTCAAACACATGTAAACTTGGTTATTTTCATCTATTATATAAACTTGTTATCCTCATGATTCATTTTATATCAACTTTGAGTCTCACATTGATTCAAGTATCAAAAGTTACTTCAACTTCATGTTTATATAACAAGACTTAAAGATAGCTAAGGATTCGATTAAGGTTTGGGTTTAAAACCAAAACCAAACCGGGAAACCCATGTACAAACTGAAAACCGAAACACCGAACCAATGGCTTTGAGTCTGGGTTTGGGTTTGGTTTGGTTTTAAAAGTTTTAAAACTAAGGCTGTCGGTTTTGGGTTCGATTTTAGGTTAAACTGACCCGACCCGCCCCATGCTCAGCCGTTGCGATGATACCCAGAAAAAAAAATTTGGATACCCCTTTGCTTTGAGTCTGGCTCCGCCACTGGTGTCCTCCCCCCCCCCCCCCCCCCCCCCCCCCCTCCTCGGTCCTTGCTAGCATTTTTTAATAAAAGCCTTAATTCTTCCTTGTAAGAAAAGGTTGTTGGTAAAATACGAATGCACAAAAATAAGTAGAGATAATAATCTATCCTACTTCCTACATGGAAGTCAATATAGGTAATCCCATGATCGACATTAGCGGCCTAATTAGTTTGTCTGTCGCTTTCTTTCTAGTAATATCTTAACCAGCAATAATACATGGTTATTATAAAAATGGTATTTTATCTGCCCATGATTGTGAGGTTAGGGAAAGAAAATACAAGGAAAAGGACAAGAAGATGGTGATATTAATGTTGCATTATACTTTCTTGATAATGATGGCGATGAGACTTTAAGAAATTCATAAACAAATACATTAGTTTGAGAAATTAATGTAACATCAGCCTCATGGTTCTAGAATTTAAAACCTCCGGCTGTGTATCCGGCATCGACAACAATAACTTGTCCAGTAATATATGATGCTGCTGGGAGGCAAAGGAATGCCACCAAAGGTGATATTTCATCAGGTTCTGCTATTGGACGGCCTGGAGTGCGAGCCATTAATGGGGCATATGCTTCAATAATTTTGTCATCCACCTTCTCCTGTTCCATAATATGATACATTAAACGATCAGACCAAAAAAGTAGTCCTAACATTAAATTCTCTAACTTCTATAATGAATCACAGCAAGTTCAAACCATGCATCCCTTTGTTATGTTTCAGGTAAAGCCAAAGACGCCCATGGCAAAAATTTCAATAATTTGAAAAAGAAAAAAATACTAAATTTAAATGTACATATATTCAGAAATAGTCTTGTAAGAGTGTTGGGAAACTTTTTAAGGATCTTACGAAGTTCATAATGGTGGTTCTGACACCCCATGGTGCAACAGCATTGGTGCGAATATTGTCTTTAGCCCACTCACAAGCCAAGTTCTTGGTCAATTGATTGATTGCACCTGCATGAATCATGGCATAAACGATATGATCATTAGTTCATCTTTTATTTTGAAAAACCTATTTAGAGTTTGTTAAAAGACCTTTAGCAGCTGCATATACAGATATGGAAGGAAGACCCGTGACACCAGCAACAGAAGAGATGAACACGATGCTTGCATTCCCTGATGACTTGAGCAATGGGTGTGCGAGTTGAGTCAAATGGAAAGGAGATTCAAAGTTTGTCCCCATTATATATGAACAATCCTCGGTTGTATATTCTGTTGCATCTCTAAGTCGAGATATTGCAGCATTGTTTATCTAATACACACACACACACATAATACATGTTAATTAAAAAAACATGTGTTTTCTATTCGTTTTGTTTAAAGTTTGATTTAGTTTCAAGCTGACTTACAAGGATGTCGAGTTTGGCATCAAAAATGGAAGAAACGGTGTTCATGAGTTCCTCCCTTTGTTCTTTAGAAGACAAATCACAAACCGAACCAGTAACATCATACCCTTTGCCTTTCCATTCTTCCAGCCTTTCATTGATCTCTTTTTGATTTCTGGAACACGTATGTATAGATGCACCGAATCCTGCTAATTCCTCCACTATTGAATAACTATAGCAAACAAAAAAGAAGTTAAAACACAAGTACAATTAACCCTATATAACATGAACATAGAATCTGTCAACAACAGTTGTTTGAAAAGTAATTAGTTTATATTAGAAACAGACTGATGGCAAATAAGATGACTAACCCTATGCCTCTGGTGCCACCTGTGACAAGAGCAGTCATGCCCTTGAGAGACCATTTCTGCTCTCGGCTACTCGCCATCTTCGTAATTTCCGTCGAATTAGTTTTGTCTCAACTTAACGTACCATGTTGTGTGGTACATATTCATAACCAATCCCCAATTGAGGTCAAAATCAAGTTGTATAGATTTAAATTAATTTAATAATAATGACAATTATTTGTTCATGATATAAAGTTGGGAAGTGAAGAACTAGCTTAGTCGGTTAGGTGTACTCCGCTCGTCTATTATTTTTTAAGTAATAAAAGCTTATAAGATTATTAATCTTAAATAATATTGATAACATAACTCTCAAAGTTCGACAAAATGTTAATTAACTATAACATTTTTGTCTGGTTCTTATAAGCTTGATTGATACGCCAAGGAGTCCAAGCATCTCTCATCTTAATGTAAAATTTCATAAATAACATACATAAAGTCCGATGCCACAAAATTTTAAGTTTTATATCTGGTTTTCAAAAAATGGAGAGAAGGATTAATACCAGCCACACGTATGATCAATAATTCAGTTTTTTTTTTCTTTTAAATTAACATAAAGAAATATTCGAGATTGATTTCGTCATTATTAACATTCAAAAAAAAATCATGGTTTTAGTTATATATATTCTAATTAGAGTATTATTCATAACAATGAATATTGGTATGCGTACAGTTTTACAAATCTTAACAATAATTTAATTAGAATATTATTTAAAATAATATAATTATATATAATATTCTTACGATAATATTAGTATATGTACAAATTCAGAAATTTTAATATATTTTAATTATATTATTCAACTATAACAGTATGATTTTCTTAGAAAAAACAGATATTTAAAATTACAAAAAATAATGACGCATAAATTATATTTTTTTTAGAAAAAAAAAAACTTGTAATTTTCTTTTGGCTTATAATGCTAAAAGTTGTCCATATTTATCACTTAAACCACAAATTAGTAATTATGTCCTCTAATTATTAATAAAATTATATATTAAATAATACATTCTTATATTTCAAAGATTAAGATGATAATTAGAATAATGACTTTATAATATTATTGATCTATTTTTTAAGCATTTGTCATACTAGACATTTGGATATATAACTAAAAGAAAAAAAAATAGATATAATTAATAGTATATTCGAATATTTTTGAAAAAAGTTCATAAGCTTATAGAAATATATCTGAAAGTACTTTATCAAAAGTTAACTTATAAGCTAGTTAATAAATTAAAATAAATAATTTTATAATTTTATTAAACAGATAAATTATAATAAACTAGCTTAAAAATTTGCTTAATATTACCAAAACAGAATATTTATATTCGATAAAAGAATGCAATGGCTTTCTTTATTTAATAATCAAAAATTTTAAAAAAAATTAATAAAACTATGCAACTCGTTTTATCTTACAAAAAAAAATCAATATTTAATTGTTTCTCTTTCATTTATACGATACATAAAGTCATTATTTTTTTCAGACAAATTTGTGTGCTTTAAAAAACGTAATAAAATTGTATCTATTTATATCCTATATAACTTAAATATATATTTTTATTGGGTTGTCCTAAGGAGAGGGACTATATGTCTCCTCGATGGTAGATTTCCAAATTTTCAATCAAATTTTTTTTAAATATAAGGAAAAATGATGCAACGGACCTATTATGTATTTCGATTTTATCTTTTCAGTCTCTAAAGTTTTTTTCGTGTCTTTTAAGGGAACAAACTTATTTTTGTCGGGTCTATTTTGTCTTTTTTGACGAAATAGAGGGGTCAGTCGGTAACTTCCTTGCCACCTCATTTAATAGGGTCGTTGAAAACATGGAGAGCTTGGGAATTACCATTTTCGAGGTTGAGGAAGTTGCAGGTCTTAACGTAGATACCATGTATTGCTTAGGAAGTGTTCTGAATCATGTTTTGTTACATCAGACTGTTATTGGGGAAGAATGTATTAAGCAGATGGAGGATTTAGGGGAGATACGGGCCCCGCCCACACTCAACTGCTATGAGATACGGGCCCCGCCCACACTCAGCTACTAAACATACATACAAGTATCACACATACAACAATATGTATAACTAATTCTATCAATCAGGCATATATCCATAATCAAACTAAGCTAAGAGATACGGGTGATGGGTTTTTGAGCATTCTAACACTCCTATGGTGTACATGCAACCCTAATAACCTTGGATCTATGTTTGTCTAATTATCATGCAAAGTTGAATTCCAAGGTTATATTCCTATCTAGCATACATGGGGAACAAATTTTAACTTGCATGAAAGATAGAATAACTTACCTTGTTGTTGCTTATGATCCTTGAAACCTTGTGAGCCTAGCACCCCAAGTGTGATGCCTCAAATGCTTCACACAACACCAAATGCTTTTGGAATGACTTTAGAGAAAATACACACTTCTAAAATCGGCCTAGCCCTCTTGTTTCTTATGTGTCTCCGATTTTGGTGGAGAACATGTTGCTTATATAGTGTGTCACATCTAGGGTTACACCATGTAAACCCTAATGTGGCATGACTCTTCATTTCCGTGACCCATGGGTTTGTAACTCCCATGGAGCCTCCATGGAGCATTCAATGGGTTTAACCCAACTTGATTATCCATGGAGCCTTTTAGCCCACTATATAAGTTATGGATGATTTACATGATCAACCCATATATTTAATTAGTCATCTTTTGATCACTTAATTAATCCTAGATTAATTCTTGATCAATACTAATTAAATAATACTATTAATATATTAGAACTTATAATATATTAATAAACCACAAGTGTTATTTCTCTCATTTAGTCTATCCAAATGCATGATGCCATGCAACCCAAATGGACCATGTCGGGTCGGGTCAAGTATATACCAGAAATAGTTATAGACTTAGACACCTTATCCAACAACGGGCCCCGCCCAACACTCGGCTAACTGGGAGATACGGGCCCCGACCACACTCCGTTACTAACATAATCATACTACGGGCCGGTCTTGGTGTCGTAGACCCGTTCCTACTGAAGGAAACTCACCTCGTATGCTAGCTGTGAAATCTCGTGTGAGGAATCCCTGACTGCTGCTCCGACGACTCCCCGGCTATCAATTTCATAAAAACATTTAATCAAAATCCGATAATCCTTCTTAAGGTAAAATGACCATTTTACCCCTGGTCAAAGTCAGCACTTGGGTCAAAGTCAACCTTCTGGTTGACCCAACTCGTCGAGTTGCTCCATCAACTCGTCGAGTCCTAGAACCCGAAATCACGATCTAACTCGCCGGGTCTCCCCCTGACTCGTCGAGTTCCCAGGCTACTCACAGTCGTGACCTACCGATTTAACTCGTCGAGTCCCTTCACCGACTCGGCAAGTTCTACCTTAAGCTAAAACAGGAGAAACCAACTCAACTCGTCGAGTCCCTCTATGGACTCGCCGAGTTCCTCTATGTGATTAAGCCATCTCAATGGATTAAGCTCCTACCCTTCAGATCCAAGCTCCATACTTCATCTACACACTGGGAATACACTTTTAAGGGTAAAGTTTCCAACTTTACCCGCTATTAGTCCTTCTTAATGGGTTTAGCTCAAACCCTAACTCTCTAGATCATAGATCTTGGTCCACAAGCCATAATACCCTAAACCAAAGCACACTATACTAAATCTAGACTATGAACATCAGTTGGACACGTAAAGTTCCAAGCTTTCCTTCCAAGCATGGCCTCTTAGGGCTAAAAAGGCCATATTAACACTTTTAAGCTTGCATGGGGTTTCCATGGTTATAAACTGTGACATCCCCAAATTTCACGGCCAGAAAAAACCGATTTATTTATGCTTTATTTGAAAATCAGAGTATATTTTTAAATAAATATATTGCGGAATTTGTTCCTAGAAAAACATGATAAATATATTATCAAAGCATTTCCGAAGAAATGTATTTTATTCATATTAAAACTTTGGGATGTCATCGTCAATACTGAAACATAAGCATAAACAGACCTTACATTTATTTACACTAGTGATCTACATCTCCTTTAATCTCTCAGTGTAAAGTAGCTTCGTATCGATACCTGTGATACAAATAGACTGAGTGGGTCAGGTTGGGAAACCTGGTGAGCACATAGGGTTTTCAACCCACAATAATATAATTATTATGTTTAAACATCAAACAATCAACCCAATTACCCATCCTCATTATCTTCTTTATCTCTTATGGATTTACCCTAAGAATTATCTATCACTCATTCCTAAGGATTCATCCTAAGGAATAGACACGAAGTCACATCGTCGCCAGGGTTTATCTAATAGGCACGAAGTCACAATCGTCGCCAAGGTTTATACAACAGGCACTAAGTCCATAGCTGCCAGGGTTTATCTAATAGGCACGAAGTCACATCGTCGCCAAGGTTTGTACAACAGGCACTAAGTCCATAGCTGCCAAGGCTTATACAACGGGTGCTAAGTCCATATCTCATTTATCAACAATATTATTTTTGGCAATCCACCCGAAATACATGTCAATGGGTTTTTAGAGTACACCGGGTGAACACGTCGTTCACAACACCTACAGGTTGCGAGTCTGCTAGTGTTCCATAGATCGTCTAGAATAGTCCATGGTTGTCATCCATACTCTGCTAGATGACGGGGCCAATGTTTGGGTAAAGGCTTTTCTCACTTCTCACCTCTCACCCTCATCTCATGATCTATATCACCTTTCATCTCACCTTCCAACTCATCTTTCATCACACAACCACTATTTTATCTACCCATGTTTTACCCCAACATATTTGTAGATACAAAATACATATACAGTTTAACTCATTTAAAACGTATATAAAATCGATCATCCAGCATAGATAGCAAGTATACAGATAATATGCACACATAGCATGTAATTTATATAAAATACTTCATATCTATGTGTAAGATGAAAATAATATGCACTCACCTTAGCAGCATGAGTTGATAGAATCTAACTAGAAACGGTCAGCGCTTCGTGATCGTCTGGCTCGGGAAGCAGAAACGGCTTCAGCAAATGAGAGAGAAAGAAAGTAGAAGGTGTAAGGAATGAAAGGGTCTTGATCGCTATTTATAGGCTGTTATGGGCCCATTCACGTCGTGAACATGATAGGTTCATGTCGTGAACTTCCATGAGTCATCCGGTAGCTTTAATGCGTGTTTTCTAGCCTCGATTAGTGTCTCTGACACGTTTCACGTCGTGAACT